ACTCGATGACGTCTCGACTTCCTAGGGCGCTCACCGTGGCCCTGCCCCGAACGAGAACACCGATTACCTCGGCGTGACTTTCTCGTGGGACTCTAGTACAGCGGAACGGTTCCTCGGAGGTTGGCGGCAGCCCCCTTGGAGAGCAGGGTCTCCACGATAGCTTGCTTGACTTTGTAGGAGGCCTCGACACGTGGTGACTCACCCGTTGCGTACCGTGCGTCCATGGTGGCACCGTGCTCTAGCAAGCTCAACACCAGCGCTTTCTTCCCGGTGAGAGCAACGAGGTGGAGCGGGGTCCGGCCGTCTCGAGTCGGCAAGTTCGGGTCGAAGCTGCCCGCTAGCAAGCCGGTCACCATTTGGCGGTGACGGGTCCGCAAAGCAGTGGCGGCTCCTGGCAGCGTTGCGGCGACCAGGGCTAAAATCTGGCCTCGAGAGTATCGGCTGTGGTTGTTCCGAACCTCAACCACTTCCTCAATCTGCTCGGCACAGCAATGCAGGGGAAAGGGGAGATGCCATACTCAGTTTCCCTGTTTTCTCTCCAGAGATTCACTTCTTGTCTCTCGGCAAGTTCTCGGCAACAGCATCTTACATTTCGTTCTTAAACCTCTCTACTTTTTGGGCTTTCCGTTCGCAACATACCATATTCGTTGCTGTAGGCTGATGTACTTGAGCCCAGAATATGACGTTCGCCCTTGACACCAACCCGACATTGTGCTGTCTCCGACCCGCAGCCTGTAGTCGAGAGAGAGAGACACTGACACCGAGTATGGCACCCCCCTTCCACTGCATTACTATGCCGAACAGGTTGGGGAAGTTAGCAACAGCCCCAGCCGAAATTCTCTCCCCACAACATAAAGCTCTGGCCGCAGCAGCGACACCACCGCCAGGACCATCTACTAGCTGTTACTGTGCGTGCGGGGCGGTCCCCACCCAATGGTGGTCAGCTTGCTAGCGGGCAGCTTCGGCAACATCAACACGCAAACCCGAGACGGCCGGACGCCGCTCCACCTCAATGCTCTCACCGGGCAGAATGCGCTAGTGTTAGGCCTGGTAGATCACTGTGCATCCGTTGACGCACGGGACGCGAGGGGTGAGTCACCACTGGTCGAGGCCTCCTAGGCAAGTCCACTACCATGGAGACCGTGCTCTCCAAGGGGGCTTCCGCCAACCTCCGAGGAACCGGTCCGCTGCGCTAATCTGCACTCGACAGAGTCGCACAAGAGGGACCACCGAGGTAATCGGTGTCCTCGTTCGGGGCGGAGCCACGGTGAGCGCCCCAGACAGTCGAGACGTCACCGAGTAGTGCGGTGACGCCTCGGCGGTCTTGGGCGCTCACCGTGGCCCTGCCCCGAATGAGGACACCGATTACCTCGGTGGTCCTTCTCGTGGGGCTCTGTCGAGCGCAGATTAGCATAGCGGTACGGTTCCTCGGAGGTTGGCGGTGGCCCCCTTAGAGAGAGCAGAGTCTCCACGATAGCTTGCTTGACTTTGTAGGAGGCCTCGATACGTGGTGACTCACCCGTTGCGTCCCGTGCGTCGATGGTGGTACCGTGTTCTAGCAAGCTCAACACCAGCGCTTTCTGCCCCGCGAGAGATTTGAGGTGCAGCGGCGTCCAGCTGTCTCGGGTCGGCACGTTCGGGTCGAAGCTGTCCGCTAGCAAGCCGGTCACCATTTGGCGGTGACGCTAGCAAGCCGGTCACCATTTGGCGGTGACGGCCCCGCCCAGCAGTGGGGACTCCTGGCAGCGTTGCGGCGATCAGAGCTATAGTCTGACCCTGAGAGTATCGGCTGTGGTTGTTCCGAACCTCAACCATCTCCTCAACCTGCTCGGCATAGTGATGCAGGGTGCAGGTGAAAGGGGGCATGCCATACTCGGGACCAGCGCCTTTCTCTCGGCACGTCCCTTGTTACCACAGCAACGTCAAATGCCGTGACCACGCTATTACGTGCAGAGGCCGCGGTCAAATTGGACCGACAAGCAGGGTGGGGGGGGGCTTACTCATGTTTTACACGCCTTAGCTGGTAGCCCATTGACCACGCGTCCTCGAGAGGACGGAGCGTTGTTCTCGCAGGACCGATTGCCGATGGTTAATCGTTCCTTCCTATATTGCCAAAGGTGGCTCAAATATGTTATCCGATCCTATGTATCCTACATACGTCACTTCCCGCCTTCTCAGTCCAGCTACCCCAGTATAGCTACCGTATTCCTGGCTACAAGTATCCATGCCTCAAACATATCTGTGTAACTTCCTTCTATTTTTCCCACCCCAGTCATGAACTTTTCTCTCTCCTTTTCGTAGAACGGACATTCTGTAACACACAACAAATCTGGTCTTCGCACGCGGCATCGCATTCACAGTTAGTTGAACTTGTCATCGCCTTTGCCTACCTTCCGAAATCTTTGTCTACGTTCTCGAAGGCCAATGCCCCCAGTCCAAAATGTGACCTTAGCTTTGTCTCTGCATCCATTGGTCCATGTAGGTACACCTTTGAACCCTGTTCGTTCTTTCAACATTCCGCATACTTGTAGACCCTCATGTTCCCTGTTTTCTTTCCTGAAATACTTCTTCTCTATCGGCAAGTTCTCGGCAACAGCATCTGACGTCTCTTTCGTAAACCTCTATATTTTCGGGCTTTCCGTTGGCAACGTATCCAATTCGTTGCTGTAGGCTGGTGTCCTTGAGCCCAGAAATCGACGGTTGCCTTTGACCCGAATTCGACGTTGTGTTGTCTCCGGCCCACAGCCTGTAGCCGAGAGAGAGGCCCTCATACAAAGAGTAGCACGCCCCCCACTGCTGCATGCACTGCTATTCCGAGCAGGTTCAGGAAGTGATTGAGGTTAGCAACAGCCCCAGCCAATACTCTCGGGACAACATGACACTCTGGCCGCAGCAACACCGCCGCCAGTGACACGGTTGTGCGGGGCTGTCACTGCACCATTGGTGGTCGGCTTGCTAGCGGGCAGCTTCGACCCGAACTTGCCGACCCGAGACGGCCGGACCCCGCTCCACCTAGCTACTTTCACGGGGAAGAAAACGCTAGTGTTGAGCTTGCTAGAACACGGTACCGCCATCGACGCACGGGACGCAACGGGTGAGTCACCACGTGTCGAGGCCTCCTACGAAGGGCAAGCAAGCTATCGTGGCGACCCTTCTCTCCAAGGGGGCCGCCACCAACCTCCGAGGAACCGTTCCGCTGTACAAATCTGCGCTCGACAGAGCCCCACGAGAAAGTCACGCCGAGGCCATCGGTGTCCTTGTCGGGGGCGGGGCCACGGTGAGCGGGCAAGACAGTCGAGATTTCAACCGTGCTCCGTTGCGATGATTTGTCACGCCCGATCCAGGATGTCCAGCATCACGACTCTTCTTCTTGTTTCATGAAAGCTCATGCCCAAAGAACCTCATGACAGCACGAAGTGCCCCCTCACGTTGTAGGCGTGTCAGCCACCCCACCACACCGCTGAGCCCTTTGTGCTTGCCACCCGCCCTGGTGACACCATCCTCGAAGCTGTAGCGCACACAAACGCGGCGGTCGGCACCTCCGGCATCCACGTCCCACAAAGAGCGTTTGGGGCACCGCCTGTATTTCCCTCGCTATAATCTCAACCAAGTGGTTTTTGCCTGCGAGGCAAGTGCGAGAAGCACAACGAGCCAGCAACGGCGACGCCACAACCTGTCAGCCCGGGCACGAGACAGCAGCAAGCGGACGCGGCCAACTTCGTCGAGCTCATGCTGCGAACATTCGCGCCCCCCGCCATTAGATGATTCGACAACTTCCGCGGGGTCTGGGCATTTTTGTCCGCCGGTGGATCTCCTGCTGGCCGGTAGATCTCCTGCTGCCATGGGGCGCGGACGAATCCATACTGGACAAAAATGCCCAGTCCACCGCGTCCTTCCGCCCCTGGACGCGAATACAGGCTCTTTGTAGGCCTCGACAAATGGCGACTCAACCCCGCGTCCCGTACGTCAACGGATGCACCGTGTTCTACAATAGCAAGCTCAACACCAGCCCTTGTGCCCCGTGAAAGCAACGAGGTGGAGCGGCGTCCGGCCGTCTCGAGTTGGGGTGTTCGGGTCGAAGCTGCCCGCTAGCAAAAAAAGCCGACCACATTGATTGGTGGTGACTGCCCCGCACGACAGTGCAGCTGGCGGCGGTGTTGCTGCGGCCAGAGTCTCATGTTGTCCCGATATTTCAAAAACGTGTCACACTGCTGTGTTCATCTGTGTGCGACAAGTTGGACAGGTTGAGTTGCACTATTGAACGTATTCAACAAACAAAAATCACAAAAAGTATGGGAACAGAAAACAGAAGAACTTTTCTAAAATTGGGCCCTCTCCGGGGTACCTTTGTAAGCGTGAGGGATTACCTCTGTCGCACACCCTTGACCGTCGGTTTGCTTGCGTTTCTTGTGTATATCATAGCTCGGTTTCATCGCCCTACGAGACCTGCGGTGTTGTATTGTCGATGTTGATTAGCACAAACATAGGATCGTCTTCCACGTTCGTAAGTAAGCACCTCGCCTTGTCAGTACATACATGACCTTCGACCTTAATTAACCCACGCGCTGGTGGCCCTGTGCAAACTTGTATTTTTCCGTGCGTTCTCTTTTCGCTATCGACCAAGGCGCGCAGCCGCATCCCCAAAACTCTTCCCTTGTGAGCTCCCCTATGTTTCGGTTAGCGTGCGAGCAGAAAGTTCGCACCCACCGTTCGCCCTTTCCCGGCTGGCCGGGGCCGTACGCGGGGCGATCAGACCGAACCATGGTCGACAAATGGGCTGGATGCAGACATTCAGTATCGTCCAAAAGGGGGTAAATCACCAAGGTAGCAGGGTGCAACCGCCGACGTGTGGTGGCTACGGTGAAACTACGTTCCACATCTTCTCTCTGTAGTGGCATCCGGGGTCCAAAGAAACAAAAGTGATCAGTTGTCGCACATACGATCGGTTGTCGCAGATACGACAACATACAAACGCGTCTTGCCGATTGTGTGTTGCATGCAGTCGAGGGTTCGCGATAGTAGTACTGGTTTTGGTGCGGGTGCCCGGTTTAGTGCGGGTGAACTCGCTCGGAATAGACAGACCCCCGCCACGTGCGGAGACGGCACTACATTGTACGCGGCGTCAGGGGCCCTGCTCTATCCTGTGCGCGGCGTCCCGAGACCACTAATGCGGGTCACCAGCCTCGCACAACCTCCAAAATACCCCGCAGCCCAACATACGTCCGTGGCGCCGGGCAACGTTGCAAAAACAGTTGACCCTGCTCGACCAGTAGCAATTGTCGTTGTGTGGCGGTAGCGAGCCCGCCTCTCGTGATTATCTTTTGTACACATACTCACATATTCTCAAGCCTCGTTCCAATGCGCTGCAAGAACTAAAACCACCAAATATTCTTCGCAGGACACGGGCACAGACAGAGGCGTCAAGCCCCTGGCTCGCCCAGAGCCCGAGGCCACACGCGGCAACGCTCTGTTCCCCAGACAAAACCCGTGCCAAAACTACGCAACCCGACGCGGAAGGGAGGGTGGAGCTACTCCATAACCAGCGCTTCCGCAGCCTTCACCCCATAGCACGCGCAGCACTTCACAAACTAGTGTGCCATTCGACGGGGGGAACTCTGCGACTGAAAACATTGCGCACGACATCGCAACACACACACACCTCCACCATTCGGCAACACACAAGACAAGACCGTGGATACCAAAATACCCTCTGGTTGGGCGCGATACTTTCACTCTCCAAGGTCAGCCGGCGACAGCTCTAAATCTTCCAACAGGTACTCTTCCATGAACCCCCCTCCCTTGTCGTACGCCGACTCTGCCATCCCGATCCCTTGCGCTCCTCCCGAACCGATGCGGGCAGACGTAAACCTTGCAAAGCAGGGCGGCACGAAAAACAAGTGTGGGAGAAAAAAACAAATAAAAACGTCGGCTTGTGCCACACTTGGACGCCTTCGAGTGAGGTTGCTGGCCGTAAACAATTCGGGGATATCACAGAGTCGTCTCCTTCACCAGGGACAACTTGAACATTAGAAAATACTTGCCGTCCAACAGACCGCAGAAAAGCTAGCTCTCGATGGCAAAGAACAGAGGCACTGATGGGCCGCGCAGTTGCGTAGCTTTAGGCAGACAAACAAGGGAGAGAGGAAAATACCATGATCGCGATTGCTTCCCTCTACACTCTCAACATAGCGAATGCCATGGGAAGGGCCGAGGGGGCCGGAGCGTGAGCGTGCATGCAACGGTCGTCGTGCAAAGTTCGACGCTACAGCACCAATCCTGCTTCGACGACAACTCCCGTACCAATGCACCTACTCGTTTATTCACTTGAATCGTCACTCGAGGCAGGTATCATAGTCGTACCACCGGCAACACAAGCTGAAGACCAACTACCGCTGTACACCTCCTGCTTGCGCCCTGGACTCGATTGGGTGCGGTGGTGTGGTCACAACTAACCAAGAGGGAGACTAAAGACCTCACCTTAGTTCGCACATAAACAACACCGACGGCCCTCCGCCTATCCCTCCCACGCTCCCTCTCCCCACACCGCCCGCAGACGGCGACCTCGCGAGCACGGTGTAGCACGACCCCGAGCCATGAGGGGGCAATGCCGGAAAATGCCGCTCGGTCTTGATCGAGTACAGGTCCGGGTCGCTACCAAGAGACGGAGGGTGGGGGGGGAGGGGGGGGTCGGAAGGCCAGGTCAAAGGCACTGGTGGTAATGCGTAGGACTTGAGGGGAAGGGATGGAAGTAGCGGGGAGACATGTGGAACATGACACAAGCAGCACAAGCCGTCGTTGTCGTAGAGCATTGAAGTTGTGGCACGACTAAAATTCCTGGGTGCATTTGCGGGTTTGTCGTGTTACGGAATACTTTGCCTTGGTTACACAACATGCACCGTCACCCGCTGGTGCCATCTGTTTAGTCCCAATCAAACACAAAAAGGGACGCATCACTGCCAACGCAGGCCGAGCTCAGAAAAGAAAATGTGCATCACACTGAACTGGTCTTCTGTTCACAATCGAGCAAGACAAAACTGGAAATTTAATCAGGCTCGGCGAAGAGTGTGACCGAGTCGACTACTAAACCCAATCGAGGAAGGACGACAAATCTTAACAACTACATCCATACAATCGACAACACGTCACCTGCACTCCACTTTGACGAGGACGTTGTGAAGCCTCTGGTCTCTCAGCCTGTTGGTCACGTCGAACTGGAGCACGATGAAGGACTCGAAAACGTGCTTGATGCAGCCCACCCTTCGAAACAAACCAAAGTGGGGAAAAGCGGGAGGATAAAGCGCGACCACCCCTCATCACGATCGATCGTCCGAACCACAACAGTAACACACGCACAAGTTGTGAGGGGAGAAGGGCAGGGATGGTGGTGGCACCCGACCCCCCTGGAACCGATTAGCACCCGTGCCTCTCCTGGGAGAGGAAGCAACGGGAATGAGTCTGCCAAATCCCGCACCCCCACAACCACCATCACCCCTTGCCCTCCTCCCCTCAAGCGCGCTGTTCCGCGAACTGGAGACATGGGACAGGTCCCTCGTCTTGGAAGACACATACCAACGCTGGTGAGGAGAGTTGGTGTTGATGAACGCCAGGTCTTACCTCAGCAAAAACAACCCATGAAGCATCCAAGACCTTGCTGCCGCCACCACCGGCGTGAAAAGGAAAACGAAGAGCACGGTCTACAGCTTCAAAACATCGCTACAGGAGTACCCCCTCCCCCCTCCCAAGGCTCCAACAGCGTCGCTTACCCGTAGTCAGCTGTTGGATCCGTGAGCTCGACGGGAGGACAAGTCCTGAGCAGCGTGCCAAGCTGGGGGAAGGAAGCCAGGGAGAGCTCGGGCACTCTGCTCACTTGCCCCTGCAGCTGAATCAGCTCGAACTTGACGTTGACGTAATCTGCTCGGCACAACTGGTGCGTCACCTAAGGGCAGGTAGGTGTGCAATCGAAATGAACAAGAGACAGTTGGGGGAAGGGGGGGTGTCAGACGGTATAGATATGACGACACACAGGTACGAGGGGTCAGAAGCGACGTTGTGGAGATGGTGAAATCGTAACCCCCACCTCTTGTTTGATTTGAAATTCCATCACGATTGGCGGCTGATTGGGTGAACATCAACCACCGGTGGGATCCCGCGGCACGCATCACTTGCGACCGCCGCTGGAGAGCAGGGCGATGCTACAGGTAAGCTCCTCGGGGGGGCGTACAGCGATCTACGGAGAACGTAGAGCATGCGCGGTTATGCACGCTGTGTATTATTCTTGCAATCGAAACATAGTCCTCGCGAACGCGCACCGAGCTCCCTCATGCTACACCATCGATCGGCTTCCGGGGTCTGAGTGACGACATGTCCTTTCCAGAGGTAAAGCAGCAACAGAAAACCGTCTCGGGTGCTGGTGAATAGGAGCGGCCACCCTCGCGGCCACGACGCGATCGCGGCGCCGGACTTCTCCTGAAGCCAAAACGACAACCAGCAACAATGACCATGAAGAAAACGCCACAAGCTCCTTCGAGCATTCTTACACACGCACACACACATGTCGTCCAGCTTCCTCCGCGACCCCCCCGGCCGAGAGACCCCTATCATGAGCAAGAACGTTCTCCGCATTTGCAATACCTCTGACGCATTTTCATTGATGAGCTGGTTAGCGCGGTCGGTACATACTTATCAAAGAAATGCACGAAACACACAACAGCGCGTGTTCGCGGTACTCTTTCGCGCTGTTAAAACTCACGCATTCCCCAATGGTCAGCGTGGTCAACGCTAACTAAACACGCACCTGGTTGCTCCGCCTCCTTGCCTCCGCGTGCCTGACCGCCGAGGAGAGAAAAGGAACAAGCTTCGACACCGGGACACTCGGCGGCAGCAACGCCATGACCTTGACCGGATCAACCCTGGAGAAATGCCTCTCTAGTAGGGAAACCGCCTCGTCCAGACCTCCGACCTCCTCTCCGACAGCAGCGACGCCGTCGTCGGAAACCTTGAGGCTCGAAGGCGATCCAGCCTTGCTCTGGGCAGGGTGGTGGCCTCCTGCTTTGTTTTGGCCTTGGAGGTACACCTTCAGGAGAAAAAGGTACACCTCTTCGTCCGGGGATGGTGTCGCGGTTGCGGCGTCTAACGCGAAAAAAAAGATATGGTACACGAAAGAAGGAGCGCATTCGGTTCTTACAAGGGAGGCTTATGCGAAGACGGTGTTGGAGGTGGTTTCCATGTTCGCGTTGTTAGCGCTGCACCGGAAGTTGTACAAGGAGAGGGGCTGATTTCCGGGAACAAAACACGGCAAAGCCTTTTTGGTCGTGAACCGTCATGCGGACAACCACATCGGGTGGTACAGAGCGTTCGCAGCAGTCACACGAACACCCCAACTCGGAACTCCATCCCGGAGGGTGGCATGGAAAGCGCACTCGCCTGCTGGCGCGCCCCGTTTGGCTGTACTCTTCGCCTTGGCAGCGCTCTCGCACCTCTCCCATATTCGTCCGCAGTACGCCTCCGCCATCTCTCGGTTCTTGAGCTGCCAAGTAGAACCAAAACAACAGCGGGTCGGGGACGTCGGGGTAGCATCCCGACAGAATAAGGGACACGCCCAAATTTACCCGAAAGGGTGGGCCACTCCAAGAAACGACAACTGTGCGTGCTGCTGCACCGCTATTGGTAGGGACATGTTGGAACCGCACGTTCCCTGAGCCCTCTTTGCCAAGGGCGGCTTCGCACAAACCTGTCTGACGTAGATGTGCAACACTTCCTCGTGTCTCCCCAGCCTCGACAGGAGCAAGGCATGCTCCTCCAAGAAGTGCGAAGGGATCACCGACAGCAAGCGCGCGGGGTTGTACTTCTCGCTCGTCTTGGATGGCCGTCGTAATCGTGATCGTTGTCGTCGACGTTGTCGTTGCGGTGTTGTCCATGTCGGTGAAACGCGGAGGGCAGAGCGAGGAGCGTTAAGCAGCGAGCGAGAACGGAACGCAAACAACGGGGACGGGGGAACCACGACAGAAAACCAATATGGAAGCCCAGAGAAGCACAGGGTCACTTACGGCTCTCCCGAGCAACATGGTTCGCCCTTGCCGAATGCGTACACCAAACTAACCAGCTAGAACATACATTTGCCAGTCGGCCTGTTCCAAATCTACGAATGTGGAAGTGGGAAACGCGGGAAGGGCTTCCCCACCCACCGCTCGCGGCTTATAACCTACAGCCAAGCGACGTTCAGGTCGCGGTTCAAACAGAGTTTGATCTACTCATCCACTCACCTGCAAGAATAGCTGCAAGCGTTGTCTGTAAGCCGCTGCCAGACCGTTCTTGTCCTTCGCGATATTCTTGGAGGAACCGAGCCTTCTCGAGCTCTGGCCTCGATCCGCTGCCGCTCCCTGCTCCACCTTTGGCGACGTTTAGCACCGGAGATCAAACCGTCATCGAAGTAAAAAAAAAAAATGGGTACTTTCCGTGTGTATTCCACACATTTCGCGCCCGCAGCGCACTATCCCACCTCCCGACAAACGCATCCACACATCCCGACGAAGTGCTGCTGCCAGCAGGACGAGGCAAGCCGATTCCGTCGCCTCTTGGCGAGCGAATCAGGAACACACAACCCCCGGTGCACCCAAACACACGGAGGGCCCGAACCTACGGGGATACCTAAGGCATGCTACTATACATCCGTAGCCTCTTGGCGATCGAATCAAGAGCACACAATCTCCGTCGCATTTGACACGTAGGAGGCCCCGAAACCTATTGATTCCATTGATGCGCAGATCGTTTCCCGCCCATCCTTCCCATCCGCCAACCCTAATTCTCGGTCTCACCAGTAGGCCCTCCATGAGCAAGTACGCAAGCTCGTCGTGCAGCGCCGAGGTAACTTCCCCCTCCCTCGCACCCCCCCCGCCTTCCCCACCACCACCCGCAGCGGCGTCTATGAGCACTTGCAGGTACCCGACAGCGAGGGCTCTGCCGCTCGTGAAAGGGATCGTCATTGGCACGGCCTGGCCCTCTTTTGCAGGTTGGGCGGCGGCAGCAGTGGCGGCGGCGGAGGTTTCTGCGTTCGCTCGACCAGACTGTGGCACCGATCGGGGGGTGGGGGTGGGGTGGGGGGGCGTACGGCACGAATCTCATGGCAAGAAAGGGGAACATACATTAACAATAACATAATCATATCTGGCTCTACCCCAACTAGTCAACGTGAGTTGGATGAATGTACGCCCATACTTCCGCACCACATGTGTCTGGACCGCCTACTAGCAAAACTCCCACCAAAGCATTTCAGACAGCTCTGCAAGAATTCGCGTGTCTTTGGGCTTGGATTTCTGCAATCCGCACACAGAGGCCAGTCGGTGTTTCGGCTGCAGGCGCCACACCGTGTGGAAAAAAGAGGCACGTAGGCCAAAAAGCACAAGCCCTCTCGCGCACAGCCTGTCCCTCTCGTCACGTGCTAAACGTTGCCGGCACCAAATGCACAAACTTTGTCAAAAAGGCGTCCGTCCAGGCCACGCACCTCGCTCGGGGTGATGGTCTTCAGGAACGACACCACGTCGTGCGGGGCAAGGCCCGCCTCCGCCCGTCTCCCGTCTGCCGAAGCCCCCCCGGCCCTCCTGGAAACTCCGACCCGTCGCTGAGCCAGGAAACCGCCGTGGTGGCTCAGGCCGGTTGCTTGTCGGTGCTCGTTCAAGAAGACGGACAGGCCGAGGGCGGGGTCGGCTTCCAGCAGCGGCTTCACCGAGCGGAGAACGAGGGCGCGGTGCGCGGGTTCCGAGGAGAGTCGGAGCTCTCGGAGGTAGGCGGCGAGCCACCGGCGGAACTGCGGCGCGGTCCAACCCCCGCCGCCGCCGCCGCTGCCCCCGGAGTATGATGAGGAGGAAGGAGCGACGCACCTGAGGTTGGTTGGTTGCGGAGGTACGGGAGAAACGGGGCATGGGTCGGCAAAAAGACGCTGGGCGGTTGTTCTGGAGAGGCGGTCCTTAGAGGGAGGCCTGGCTCGAGATTCCCAGCACGGTGCTGATCGTGCACCCGTTCGTGACGAAGGTAAGACATGCCAGTGCCCTTCACTGCACCTACCCCGTCTTGACAACAACGACACGCGCGCTCGCCACCCCCGCTCTAATTCCTTCCTTCCCACGCCAAGACAACGGCGACAGCACAGCAGCAAGACTTCTTGATGACGGCTTGCCTGTCTTCCGTGGCAAGCGCCAGCGCGTCCTCGTGCAGGCCCCTCCCGCGGTAGAGACACAGCAGGGCCTCGATGAAAGAGGGACCGCTGGCGGCCAAGAGGGGTGCACAGGCTGCCAGGCTGCACCGGTTGGGACCGCTCAGAAGCTCCACCTTTTATTGCAGCGTTCGCGATGAGGCACGGAAAAGGCGTCAAATGCGTGGTTTGTTTGTGTGCTGAATGGGACTATTCGAGGGTGTCCCGACTGGACGTAATTGCCGAAACGAGAGTCGAGAATTGGGGGTGTGCGTGCGACCAAGGCTGGTGGGCTACGTTGCTCCCATTGGTCGGCGGCACCAGAGCTCATCGCAAGTCTCACGGCTGCTTCGAAACATTGGTTCTTGATGCTGTGTTGTGCTCCTCTGTTCGTCGTCATCGCTCTTGCCCCGCTGCAAGCAAACCTTCGCAACCAGCTCGGTTTCGTAGTCGGCGCTCTTCCACGTACCAGTGCGCTGTGTCTCGGCGGGCTGCACTGCACGTACGACGACATCAGCATCGTGTCCAGCAGCACCAGGGTGTCTCCCGCCTTGCCGTCGTTATCGGAATTTCCAGAACCACCACCGTCGCCTTCGCCTCCGGCCGCTGGCGACGCCTGCTTCGAGTGCCGCCCCGGAGCACACAAACGTGGCGTTGACCAGCGGAGTGCAGCACCAACAACAGGGGGGTGCAGCAAGCAAGAGGCGTGTCTTTCACTGGGGTGTCATAGAGAAAAAAAAACTACAAACGCTCGAGAGAACGTACAACCTAGAAAGTTCCCCTAAACACGCCGGACGAAAAGGACCGCCTGACTCTTCCCACCACAACACCGACCAGCAAGGTGCGTACATAAGTCCTACCATAGGTCCTTGCAAGCGGAGTGTGACCTCACTGACTGACATGCTTGGAAAAGCGGCGGCATGAAAAAATCAACCAACAACTCACCTCGGCTGGGCCGTCGGCATCTTCGGCATCATCGGCCTTCTGACAGTCTTCCCGTTCAGCCGCGGCCAATATCGCAGGCCTGTGTCTCTCGAGAAACGTCATGACTGCGCTAGCCGCACGGCTCCGCGAGACCTGTAGGCACGCGCCAGCAATGAGTGGAGACGTCCAGATATCAAGAAAAAAGTGCGTGCTTGCGTACTATCTGCTACTAAGTACTTTTTTGTCACATGTAATACATGTCCTACACTTTTGATCTCGGCACAAAACAGTTCCGAGGCCTCCCTCCCGGTGTATTGCTTGCGATCGCCCCGCACGCAGCACGCCAAACCTGATGCACTGCCGCCATGCGTTCTGTAGGAGCATACAATCATTCCCATGGCGGCCCTCGAGGTCTTTATTGAGGGGCGTTCGTTCAACGGGGGCAGGACTTAAACGGTACAACTTCTCCTACGGTCCACCTTTACCGATCAACATGTTTTGCCGTTATCCCAGACGTCACACCAGGTTCGACTACATAGACGATCACACACTCAAAAAGCCCGCAGGCAAGCACACCAACGCATGTTTGTACCGCTACGAGAAACGCAGACGGCATTGTTGCGGCGGTAATCCACTTACCCCCGTGAGCTGCCTAGGAGGCTCGCCAGACGATGTCGGACCTTTCTTCGGAGTATTGGGCCCTGTGAATCAAGACCATTGCAGACAAGTCGGGGGTGGACACATACCCCCAAGACAGATACAATAGTGTCATGCCTCAGACGTGCTACGCGGTCCCACCAGTCGCGGGACAAGATAAATAGGCCGAAAAAGAAAACTTCAGGGGATGTATTGTGATGCTTACAAGGGCGCTTCGCGGCGTACCGCTTCGCGTAGGCTGCATGGCGATGTCAAGTGTGTGTAGGTCGAATTTTGAGATGAGAGAAAAGAGACAGAAGTGTAGCACATGTATGTGAAAAGATGGTGGGCTTATTTGATTTGTTCGATGAGATGAACTAATGAAGGCCAGAGGACAGAGAGGAAAACATGCACATGTGGCAAGCGGCAAGAAACCAACACCGCAGCAAGAACAATGTCCATAGTTAGTTGTATGCATGCTGAGACCATGCACCGAAATGAACGTGTTTGTGCCGCCTCAACACCACACCGGAAACTAAATGTTGGAAATGCATGCATACATACGGGTGAGGAGCAAAACAAATAATTCGATGCATCATCATCATCATCATCATCATCATCTCTTCCTCCATCATCCCACCCAGCAACTACACACAACATGTATGTAGGTACTTTCAAAGTAGATGTATCCGCATCAGCATGGCAAAAACCCACACTACTCGTCCCACAGCATATATATATATATATGCCCCGATGGGCCGGCGGGGGAGGACATTTTCCCCGATGGATACAACGCTTCTTGAGCAACACACTGATTTCTGGCTCCGAACCCTACACCTGCTGCTTGACGTAAGATCATCAGGACACTGGTGTGGCAGTTAGCTCTCTGGCTGGAGCGAGTTTTATGTGTAGAGGCGCCGATATGGGTGAGCTCTAGGTGCGAGGTCGGATGCCCTCAAGAGATCTGCATGCGGGCGAAGCAAACAAATTGTTCGCGGGGTGTTCTTGCAACCGACTTCCTACAGAAGCATCTTTATCGAAAAAAAGCTCGCGCCGAGCTTCCAAAAATAGCGCAAACCCTCTCGGGAGGGATCTATCAATATGCATACAACGTATGTTTTCCCTCTGTTTTGTTGCATGTTCTTGCATCACCCCAAATGCCGCGGTGCTCTGTTAACCCCGCTCCGGAGGGAGGCCTTGATGTGAGAGCCTGGTCCGGTGAGAACCCGGCGTGCTCCATCCCGGGTTTGTAGGAATGCGAGGTCAATCATCCAACACTTATGGCATGCACGGCTATGAGTACACCCCCCCCCCACCACCCACCTTGTAGGCTTCCACCTGGTGGGACGAACTCAGGTGGGGCCAAGGACGGGAAGAGCGACAGCACGTGGTCGACCGGCGTCTCGGCGACTAGGAAGTGCCCGACCGCGCCCTCGTAGTCCCCCCACGAGAACAGGTCGTAAGCGTAGCGCTCGTGGATGCTCAGGACGTTTACCGACCCCAGCACCGACATGTCCTGGGGGAGTGGAGTCGGGACGAGACGTGGTCCGATTGCATCGAAAAACGGTGCTCGATGTCGGCTAGCGTGGAGTTATGCTTAGATCGATCCAAGCACGGAAAATGAATTGGGTCGTCAGTGCTATCGACATCGACTGCTGCAACACAGCCGTCCAAAGGCGCATGTAGGTATATGATCAACCGTCGCGTCTGAGCAGGGTCTATCGGTACCAACACACACGTAGCGCGTGCGCCACTTTGAGCAGCATTGTAACGGTCACGAGCCGAACGTCGCCGCTACAACTAAAAGAAGGAAGGCAAAATGAAACGAGTACAGGTGAGCAATATTTCTTACAAAAACCACCACCTATGCATACCAACGCATCAAATCTCACCTTGCACATCGCGCACAAGCTTAAGGCGTCTTCGTAGCTGCCAGACTCTGCCAGGGTCTCCACCTGAATAAAATACGAAAAGAGGCGTTCGCTACGATGTTATGTTATGAGCACGCACACAAGACAAACAAACACAATCAACACGAGAGCGGCGAGCGAATTAAACTTTCAGTCATGAGTCATGAGCATGCCAACCAACAGCGGGGCAGCGGAATGAGAGGGGAAATGTGCTCGCTGCAACAAAACACGAGACATCACCGCAAAACAGCCAGCGTCGGCAGTGGGCTAAACGGTAAACAAAAGAAAGAAAACAAAAAAACAGCAGCAGACAGGAACAACAAACCGCTAAATAAACGCCTCTCAAGGAACCTGATGATGGGACAACCGACACTTGGAAGTTCCCGGCATGCAGCAGCTGAAACGACGGGAAAGTGTTGTACGTAGCTCAACACGACTTCACCTGAAACTCGATCGGAATGAGCTTGAGAAGGTTCACAGAGTTTGCCGTGGCGACGTACGTCAAGTCGCCTCTCCCTCCCCCCACGGGGCATGTCGTCATGCAGGTCGCTCCCGGCAGATCAAAGGTCTGCAGCGGGGCTAGGCTTGCAAGGTCGTGGACTTCCACCTGCTCTCATGCAGGGTTTACATGCGTTCAGCCAAGCGTACGAAAAAGCAAGCACACGCAAAGCAAGCAGAGGCGAAACCGACAGGAGCGGTGGCGCGAAGGAAGAAGATCAAGCCAAGCACACACCGCTATTGCGAAGCGGAGCCGTTCATGACACTTTCGACGCGTATGGGTCGCTTTCGATGGCCTACCAAGAGCTCGTAACATCAGTCATACATGGAGGAGAAAGCAGTGCATCCGATCAGCGCTCTATTGGTACGGATAACAGTCAGCTTGTTCCCCGTCAAGGTGAAGCAGGCAGCCGGCTGCGTAAAAAGAAAATGGTAACTACATAGACTCATGTGTTACTTCCCCGTCCATCTCATCCCAACATCTACAAATACATCCCTAACGAAGTTAGGAAACTAAAACGTCTTGACCTCCCCCCCTCTGTCTCAAACAAGGCAAAAACAAACACACTCCGTGCCCTAAGAACGAAGCCGTTCACAAGCCACACCTGGCGCGGCAAGGCCGCAACGAAGAAGGCCGTCGACAAGCACACCGACAGCGGGGGCGCGGTCCACGTCAGCCGCTCTTCGTGACCTCGACCGACCAGATCAACCAGTAGCCCTCGGGAGCCGCTGAAACACGCGCGCAAAGGGCCGATCCGGGTACCCCATGCACACACAAACAGAGGAATTAGAGGCATCTGCAGACGGTACGAGCTTGGGGGGCAGAAACAATCGGGTGTGCACCTGTCTCTTCGTAGACGAACGCAGATGTGCTTCTGTAGCTCGTAAAGTGAAACTTATCTCGAAGTGACAACATGGGTTCAATTTTATGACTATACACTCCATTGATTGCTACGCTCATCGAACGCTTTTGTTGGGGAGCATTCAAAGGACAAAAGCAGCCCCTACAAAAACCATCTGCAAGTACAATACAACTAATGCCACTGCCATCATCACCACCACCACCACCACCACCACCACCAACAACAACAAACAACAAGCGCGACGTTAACAGTATTTTAAAACCTTGAAAGGAGTACTCTTGCACCGCGGGCAGAAGAAGCCGGCACCGGCAAAATTACGCCGTGGCTGGATGACCCCCCGCCCCCCAGACCTGATATGCTGGACGTCCTGAACGGAAAAGGGCGAAAAGACCGGAGGTTGTGTTGGAGCAGTGTTAAACGACGCCGTCGCCGAACTCAAACCGCCGCACAGACTCCCAACTACATGAAAAGAAGTAGGCACGTCACGGAGGCATTTGCAGAGCTCTCATACTGCAGGTTGGTGTATAATCATGGGGAGCATAAGTGTTCACCAGTGGGGGTAAATGAGCAGTGGTATGTCGTACACTGCGTGTGCTCACAGAGCACGGCTGCATGGCAATACAACCAGAGCGCTCAGGCAGGCTAGACGTAGCCGTTTGGCATCACAGCCGCATCGCTCTTGAACGCTAGCCCGTACTAGGGCAACAGCGGACACCGAGAAATCTGGACTCACATGGAAGAAGCGCTGGCATCCAACTGGTCACGGTCGGACAGTAGCAGAGCAGGGCTGAGCGCGCCCGTGGTAGCGTCCATGACGCTATACTCCTTCCGGAGAGCGAGCACCAGCTACAGTAGATTGAGCGGCAAGGGATTGCGACAAGGAAGAGGGGCCGCGCTGGTCGTGGCAAAAACACAGATACACGCGTTTCGCATTTAGCGGAAACCCTACCCTCCTCTTCCCCTCCAAAAAAAACATCTCCCAGCGCCGTTCTTAGGCAACATCAACCGACCGGAAAACATCGACCCTACGAACAGCAGTGTACGGCATGTCCCGCAAAGTTGCATCTTCACCGAATAGCAGTAATGTACCCGAATGCGACCATGGCATAAAAAAGGCGCTCAGACTCTAAGGGTAGAACAATATAACTAGCAGCAGCAATTGGCGCATAGCGCCTGCACGTTAGCCGCTGCACCTTGGGTCCGGACGACCCGGCGGGACCGTCAGCATCCTCGGGCACGAGCGCCATACTTCTCGGAGTCTCCGGGAGAGGGAAGTCCCTTCTAGGGGCGAGGCTGACCGCTTGCCATGCCAACACCTGCGCGCCGTCCACAAGGAATACAAGGAAAAGCAGCGGGTAATACCGACGGAGGCAACCGACGACATATTTAGGGCCCCTTTTTCCGTAGGTGAACGTGGCAGAAGAATCCTAAGGGCCGTGGTAGCTTTAGCCCGCCACAGAGTGCAGGCGTGAGTTCTCGGTTGACGATTGGGCCAGGGAGAGAGGACTCCAGAAAGAGAGCGAGCACGGTGGTGCCACAGCAAGTGGTCCGCCCGCCCATGCTGGCCAGTGGCATGTAGAAGATCCCATGTATCGTATCCATCAGTGGTTCCACGAGTTCCCATGGTTCTAGGAACGCTGCTGCGGATCGGTTCTTCCTACACTGTGGATGCGTCCGCGTGAACCCTAATCTTCCAATATAACCGCCATCCACACTACGCGATGTACCATTATCTGGCAACGTGGTGTCTTCGGACTGGGGAAACGCCTACACCCGCTATGGTAGACCCAACCTGGTTGTAGGGTGGGGTTAGGGTTAGCGCTAGGTCTGGATCGTTAGAGACTATGTCCCCACCTGAAGGCGCTTCTTGTTGGCCACGAACACCAGTCGTCGCTCCTCGTCCACGCAGAAGCAGGATGCCCCCCTCGTAGAGGGGACGCTTGCCAACGGGCGGTAGGTGTACATGTCGTACGCCGTCAACTGGGCGGGAGTGATGCGGCAGGAGACCGAGGACACAGCGAGGGAACAAACACGCAACGACAGTGAGGTGGATGAGGGTTTAGGAATAACGGTCTAGCGCAGGACGCCTTGAAGACTTAGCAAAAAGGACGGGATATCGGCGGTGAACAGCGTAATCCCTCGAGTGACAGGGGGTAATACGGGCTAGGTCTTGAAGAAAACTCGACAAAAAATCGTCACTGAACCGTCACTTCAACGAATTCAATACAAGCTTCTTGAGTCTCATCTATACGGGTAACCCTGTTGTGACGTGTTGCGCACGTAAATGGTGTCATTTCTCTTGCACAAAACTGCTCTTAAAGTACCCCCGCTTCAAAACGAGGACTCATGTTTCGCCAACCTTCGCGGAAGGCTATTGGTTCGCTGTCATGCTCTTCACAAATATGTCGTATCCCACAGCATTGGTCTCGTACCTTTGTTTGTTCCGAAAAACGACTACACAACGTGCACAGGAGTGGCACAAACAAAAACGCATTGTGAGCCTACCTGGCCATCCAGCAACCCCAGCAGCGCTCGCCACGCTTCGACGGCAAGGAGATCGAGCACCGGCCTTCGGTCCGAGCTGAGGCCTTTGCGGAGACTGTCCACCTGCCAGAAGTTGCCACGCGAATGAAAGCACAACGCAACCGCCACAGGCGGATGAGCTAGATCGTATTCGCAGAGTCCCCTCGCCCGCCTCTCTCATTCTCTCTCTCTCTCCCCCCCCTGAGGTCGGATCTAGTTAGCGGTGGCTAAATAGCTAGACCTTGGCGTTCATCACGGTTCACCAGCACTGCCGCAAGTACCATGTAGTGATGTACCTTCGGCGTAGTACGCGATGGGCTACAGCTGTATCGCAGCAGGCGGCGCTTTAGAGCTGCCACCACAGCACTAGTGACGAGAATAGACCCCAAACCCAGCACCGACATACTAAACGCAACTGCAACCAGAGTACGGTTTACAGAGCTCTTGTATCACTAACGAAGCCCTGGAAGTGTTTATATTTCGTTCGGGTTCCATGTGGGCGACGAATTTAACCGTATTCTCGAGGGCATGCGTGGAACAAATTGGCGAACGTACAAGAAAGCTACATGCCCTCCATAGGAGACCGACACGTTATCACACAACAACGACTGTGGGTACCGCGGCAACGGCAACGCAACCAGCGGTGTCACAGACCCTCCTCTCACCTCGCGGCACTCAAAAGAACTGGCTTTCAAAGCGTTCGGCGTGTCCCCGCGGCACTCGTGAGCTGTCAGGCTGCCGTCCCCGGCCCCCAGAAACATGCGATCGCCAGCGCTAACCACGGCGATGGTGCTCACCTTCGGCATAAACCATCAATGGGTCAACGGCCAACCAGGTTGCTACTGCTGTAGTGCTGTCTGTAGACGGATCTCTAAAGTCATACGCATACGCCTGTTTGCCTGCAAAAGCTTGCCCACATCATTCGGCGTTGCCGCAGCTGGAACAAATCCTTCCGTAGTAAAGAGCTGATTCACAACAATGCCGGTATCGGCAGCAACTAGGTCTTGCGCCATCCCGTGGCAAATATTCGACAGACGGATGATCCTGGAGGTCTGTATGCCTTGACAACAACGTTGTGGTGCTCTACGGCAACGCATGCTGCTGCTGCACGCGTTGGAAGCGCGCCTTCTTGAGCCGACAAGAGGTTCCGCCGCATTTCGGGCATCGGGCAATACTGCTGTACTGCTGTACAGCAGTAGGCCTCCGCACCTCTCTCTTTTGTGCACTACGACGGTTCTCACAACCTGCAGAAACGATTGCTTCGTGACAATTCCACTAAGGCATGCAAAGTTGCACGGCGCAGGTTGTAGCTCTAGTGTGCCAGAGCTCGCCAAACAGGGTCAACGCGTTGATGCATGTACAACAACAGCAGCGTTTGTTCGCTCTCTGCATATAATCTGTAACTCACCTGTCTAGTGTTGACACCAAGCAAGGTGGACACCTCAAACGCTGATCGAGGCATGATGCCCACTTTAGGTGGCACGGCCTGCTGTCGACACAGAGCACAGACAGCAGTTGAACAGCAGTCGATGTTCCAGAGAGGGGCAACAGCGGCGGGGGGTCTTCGCTCGTTCCGTTCTCCGCATTGAGGGGGCGGGGGGGTCAGCAACTGATGCACGGAATCCCGCGTCCTGTAACGAAAAGGAGCAGGTGGTCACACTGCTGTGCACCACAGCGCAGGGGCTGGGGGTGAGTTATGATGGAGGCCCCAACCAAGATCGCGGAAGTAGACTTCCGGTTTGCTGGGCCCGAAGACACCGCAGAGATTGTGACCTTGGTGAGCGAGAAATTGGTGTCGAAAATGGAGGAAAAGCTTCCTTACAACGGACGTTTCGCTGTTGGAGAAGATGCGCGTGTGGATCGCGATCCTACTCCAGATCACGGTCTTCAGGGCGGCAACATATTGACACATACACATCGTAGCGGGAACTGTCATTGCCCAGGCCAAATGCAGGCGGCGATCATGCAGTGTATGAATTGGCCGATGTAGGCCTCCTGTGCACAGCATATTGACTAGCCTATGTAACTGCAAGTATGTACAGCAGTATTGTACGATGTAACGATTGGACAACATCCTATTGCAGATAGACTAAAGTTCACGCAAGCAGGATGCATACAATGAACGCGGATTACATTGCTGCGAGCGGGACGCATAGCAATGGACACCATAAACGGCGGTATGCTATAGACTGAAAGTGTTTTGAGGAGGATTTTTTTTTTCGGAATCGCGTTGGTGATGTAGCTATAGCCACCCCTTTTAGACTACAGCCTGCTGCAGCAGTAAGGCAGTGATTACGGCGATGTATATTACTGGGGTATGATCTAGAACTCTGTGAGCTTAAGCTTCTTCGCGGCGAGTGCTTGGTTTGGGCTGGCGCGCACGTCTAGCCTCTAGTGGAGTCACCGTCTGGGAAATACTAACTCTCTCTTTCGAAGGCCTCATCGGCAACGGGACTGCCAGTAGTGAGCGGCGGGGTTTAAGTTCCCCATGACATGACGTGATCTGCGGATACACCGCTGACCTCTGAGGGTAAGCATCGTACACGTAGCAGCTACAATACTGCAGTGTAGCAAAACCTGGACAAACGAGGGCCCCACAGTATCATCTGGCACATACCACACATGTGGTCCTGCGTCTCTACAGTGTAGGCTGTTCGCTCAGACAAGAAAGGATTGCATCTTAGGCCTCACTCTGCATTCCACTCATTCCTTAGAGCTAAGAATTACAATACCCGTTGAATAATCCATGCTCGGCGGAATCGTCAAGAACGAAAAGGTTGTTCATTCTGAATGCCTGGCCCCGTTGTTCTTGCAGCCATATGTACAATAGTCTGTTGTTCTTGGAGAAACGGCGATAACGAGAAGCCGAAACAGCTTCCTGACTGCGTTTGACGACCCATTAGCGGTGGTGGGCAGCGGAACAACACTCGGCTCAGCCACGGTGCTCAACACACGATGGATGATATAATCACTCCAGCACGCACGGCATCTACCAGCCTGTAGCAAAATACGATACGATGACTATTGCTGTTGCTGTTGCTGTTGCTGTTGCTTGGTGTCAGCAGCTTCGCACCCTCCCCCCCCGGCCCTTGCGCACATGTTGTTTTCAGGTGAACGATGCCTTCTCTGTGGAAAAGGGAGGCTCTGGCTTGGCCTTCACTACTCGAGATCGCGTCAGCAAAGAGGAGGTAGGGTAGAGCAAATACCGCTCGTCATCACTGAGTTTGGAGATAGACTAGATGTGTTGGTCGTGTTCTGCCAGGCCACTTGACCACTTGACGACCAATGGCACATCTTACTCTCCCGTTTTTTGCAGCAGCACGAGGGCTGGAAGCACCGGCAGGTGCTCTTGTGCGGCATGTAGTACGGCGCAGATAGTACCACGCTCTTGTTGCCGTGCCCGCCGTGTTGCTTGGGTTCAGGTGTTGGTATTTAGGAGCGGTAGCATGGTTTGAGTAGGAGTCCTGAAGGCTGACCAAGAAGATACAGACACTGATTTGTCGCAGTGGTTCGCGTGTACAGTGTAGAGTCTCAGCCTGCATTCTGATCATTCCCATTGAGGAATCGAGAAAATTTATTTACGGATTGCCCTCAGGGTATCTCGCCTACTTTGTCGGCGATTCAAGAACGTACGCCGCATTACACTACGCGAGACATCGGCCAATGAAGGAGGTGTGGCCTCGTGTGACGAAACCCGCGCAGTTAAATGGCCAATGACGTACACGGCGGCACAGCAGTTGTGGCGCATGCCTTACACGTTGGATGTTCGGAGCGATGCACTGGACGAAGCCTAGTGAGCTCGCTGCTGCTGCCTCGGGGGCACTCGAGCTGTTGCTGCAAACCTGTGGAATCTTTAATGACCTTTTAACCACCTGTCTGGGGGTATCCTGATGCGTTTCTCGCCATGCGGAGCAGGTGGATGCTTGCTTGCACGGCGCCTGCGCCGAGAAGCGATGGTTGGTGCTTGAAACGCCTCATCCCGAGGAGACGATGGTAGCAGCTTGCTTGATCTGCGCTGGAACCACTCCCGGGAAGGTGGGCCATATCGTGGCACCGACGCGCCAGCGGCCTTCGTCACCGAGACGGAGAGGGCTGCCTCCTCTGGATGGACTTTTTGTTTTTGCCCTCGTGGACGGTGACGTCGACTATCACCCATCGCGTTGTGGCAATGTTTTTCACACCAAGCCTTTACGGCGGGACGGAAACTGCGGTACACAGTAGCACACGGAAAGAAAGTGCGTGTCGTTCATCCGCCGTTAGGCAAGATACCTACCATCAGGGGTGTCATTGTGGCGCATATCTCTTGGAGCGGGGAGACTATGCGTACGTCCCCAACATGTAACGCGTTTCGACTGAAAGAGCATGCATCTGTTTGGGTCGTTTTCGCGCTCAATAGCTTTCGTCCTTGTGTTTGCTTACGCCCTGATTGGTTTGAGGTTCGGGGCGTCTTTGGGCCTGGTCGAGAACGCACCATGCGAAGTTTTCACACATTCACACATGCTTGATATACAAATGGTTCGCTCGTCAGTACACCAACAACAATATGGGCGGGAGAGAATGCTTGACCTTCTCGAGAACCGATGAACTCCCAAGCCAACGATTCTCACTATACCCCCCCTCACGGACTTGTTTTTGCTCTGGTCAACCAACTGTAGGGTAGCGTCGAGCTGTTGGCGGTGGAGCCTGCACGACAAGGCAGGGGACTGGGGTCACATTTGCTACGGCGGGCCGAGGGCATTCTACTCAACTTCCGCTGCAGGTGAGCAGCTCTCGCAGGCGGGCGATTCAGCCCTCCCGTGTTTTTTCGATCGTGGTTGTGTGTGGCCAAGACCCACCCGTTTTTTTTAGCACAACACTGCCTCAATTAGCCTTGTGTTCTGCTCTTGTGCACACGATGCGGGGAAAGTCTTGGGGCGGGCACGTTCTACCATGGACCGTCGTTTAGAGGCCCACATACAGGTGCGGTTACACAACGGTGATTTTCCAGACAGTAGGTTCACTCACCCTTGAAAGCGGTAGCACCAAGTGTCTCAGGCGGCCTTTCGCGATGAAAGACATCCCGCCCCGGCTGCTTTCCGCGCTTAGTATTGTGGGGAAGGTTATCAAGCATTCGAAGGGTCGATATACAAACTGCAGGAGATACCACATCGCTTGATCCCACACTATCAGGGAATGAAGAACTAACTCGCTCGCAGATAGACATGTCATCTCGACACAGGGCGAGATGAATCTAATAGGTCGTCTGTCAGCAATCTATAACCATGCTTGGGCTCATGCAAGCTCTGCCACGATACATTACAAAACGAGGTGGTGCAAGTATCTGCATGACCTGGAACACATCATCGGCTACATGTGCCAGGACGAGAGAGACCGAGTCACATCGAGCTTCGCATGGCCGTACCTCTTTCTTTTCCGACGCTCACCCCACCCTGTTTGTATGCATGGCAACATGCCTGCCTCCATGCCGATTTCATTCACCCCAGTTACCGTTGTGGGTGTTCGTTCCTTGGTGCTATCGGCCGTGCGCCTTGGTCAGGTTCGTCAGGATGAGGGTGCCCCAATGGAGGGAAGACGTGCTTGGGTGGGTCGGTAAGCGGGGCTACAAGGAAACCGGAGGGGGTGTGTGGGGCGAGCTGGACGGAGAGAGCGCGGAGGGCCTCACAAGACCGACGCGGTATTTCATGCTGACGGTAAGTGATGCCACAGGAGCCTCTGCGTCCTTACATTACACGTTTCCTAGGTATATGCAATACCGATCGTATACTGTAAGCCGTTGCCCTCCATTCAAGCGCAAATATAGGTACGTTCAGTTGCCTAGCATATGCCGTTTCGTTATCCAGACCAGACCACCGCACGCTCTGTTTCCTTGACGTTGATGAAGATTGTCGTGAGTTCTGCATAATATTATCTTCCCTGCTGTATGACTCCCGCTCGCGCCCCTGTTGACGCATGCAGCATGACCTCCTTACGGACGAGAAGGTTGCGGGTACCTTCGGCGATGGGACGACTCGCTTCACGGCCGCTGCAGCCGCAGCAGCCGAGAGAGTCGCCTTGGGCAGTACCCGTAAGCCTACCTCAAAACCTGCATCAAGTGAGGCTTCGAGAGGACTGGACGGAAACAACACTGTTCAATCGAAGGATGAAGAGGATAGTGGGCGTCTGGCGGGCTTCCTGTCGAGCGTTTTGAAGGGTCTGGCCGATGCGGAGGTGGAAGATCAGGTAGGGCAGGTGCAAGGGAAAGTCGTGGCTATCGATGCAACAGTTCGTATGTACGGTAGAAGATGGGTTCGCTTTGGAACCCGCTGGCATTCTTGACGGCATTGCAGCCATACATGGTACCTGGTATGGTCGCTCTTCTTGTCCCTGCAAAGGACATTTGATGTTGGGTACATGGCTGAGCGCGTTTCGTTCGAGGTGTGTTGAAGAGGGGGACAAAGGGGCGCACCCTCTTGTCGTTTAATGCACAAGTCATGCACAAAAAAAAACGCACCCTGTCTTTTCTCTTTTTGCCTTGTGTTCTTGCCTCTATTGTTGAGACAGGACGGAATCGATGCCAAGGACGTTGCTGCAGCACCCATGGCGGACATGTCCGTCGGCGCGGAAGCAGCAACACCGAGTTGCCCGTTGCAGTACCCAGCACCCAGCGATGGGACTGGAGCTTCGGAGGGGGCTACGTGCCAACCCTGTGCTGGTACCACCACCAACATTTCTACCGCTGCCCCGGGCGAGGATGGTTCTGTGCCTGCTTCGAGGAATGACTTTGAGGTAGTTGAATTGCCAAGTGTTGGAGGGGGGGGTGATGAGGCCGCAGACGGTGAGGAGAGCGTTGAGGACTTACTCGGCTCTCTCATGCGCACTCTCAACACGGAACAAGGCAGGGCTGATTTTAGGAGGCTAGCTGCCGCAGGGTCGACTTCTTGACGACGGAGATGGGTTATACGATCTTCAATATCTTACATAGGCGTTTGTATCTGTTCTGGCCAGCTTCACTGAACCTTTGTGCTGTGAGGACTTGAACGCATTCCTTGAGCCCGTGACGGGGTGGTACATGTAGCCCTAACTTAATCTAGACACATTCGTGGAGAGAAAGAGCCAGCAGCAGAGCACAGTATCTGTTTCAAGTGTACAAGGTACAGGTACATTTTTCGATTTAGCAGGATCTCTTTTGCAGACAATCAGGACAAGTATGTTGTGCTGCCTGACATTGTGTGGTGTTCACAGCTTTATCTCGTCTGTGCTCTCAACTCCGATTGCGTTCTAGGCGATCGTGTCCGTCCTTGCCTGTCGCTTTCATGATATCCGGGACAAGCACCTGAACCTGCATCGGCTCCCGGACTTCCGTAGCCATTTTCGTTTTGTTTTTGTCACCAAATCAAATCACCGCTTACAGAATTTGGGCCGTTGACTCCAACCTGTGGCCACACAGAAGGGTTCCTCCTCCTGAGGCCCTGTACCCATCCCTCCTGTGGTGCTTTTCCTCCTACTTTAAATGCCAGACCAGTGCAACACTCTCTTCCCTCTGTGTACACACGAACTAGCGCTTTCCACCAACACAAGGAATGGAAGTGAGAGAAAATTCACGTTGCAAGAAAAACTCGCTTCCACCGGGGTTCAAACCCCTGGCCCTGGCCACTAAAAGGTAGGTGTGCGAGGAAACCACCAATTAGACTATCGAGGGCGATCAGCATTATGGATACACGTAAACTCAACCCTTCCGTCCCTGCCCCTCCCTCAACACCCCTCCCTTCGCTCAAACACCCGTTGCTCTTTTCCCACTCCACCCGCTTCGCCGAATACTACTTCATCCGTCGTGGGTCATCAACGGTGGGATCTGGGCCTCCACGCCCAAAAGGCTACAGGACCAATGTGATATTCGAAGCTTGTCTACCAATCTCTCTGCAGAAAATATCATATCATCGGGTGCGCACCTTGCAATACACTTTACACACCAAGTATGCCACTTCTCTACCGAAGAATTCTCGTTTATTGCTCAACGCACCCCGGAACAAAAACCTAGGGAAAAATATCTTGTTTCTATTCTTACTTTCATTTTCACGTCAGCCGCATGTGAAGGTAACGATCTTTGTCTGTCTCTGTGCATTGTCGGATCGAAAACCTACACATTGAGTACTCTCAATGGCGACGAATATACTGTTGGAGGAGATCGATTGAAAATAAACCAAAGGCACCCCGCAGCAACAATTAGCATTAGAATGCGATATGGAAACGGCGACATCCCCCACCTGCTAATACTGCTGTTATCCTCTGTCTTGTCCCCCCGCCCATGCTGTGCCCTCTCTCCCTAAAATCCCCGGGGAGATCGAAAACAAGGTTTCCCCCCTACCTCTTGTTTTTCCTGGGGTTACATTTTCTTACGAAATAAGGTTCCAACCCCGGGGGGGAAATGCATGAAGACCTAACCCCCCCCGCCAAAAACAAAAATGTACAAATCCCAAGAAAAAATATGTTTTGGCCCTGGGCTGATTTGAAAAATATGAAAAACAAACGTGGTCCTGCCTACTGCTTTCGTGTCCCCTCGTGGGCAGGACGAACTACGGCACTTCGCCCCAACCCCCCAACAATCCGGCGTATAGTTTTACAAAATGATATATTTGGCGCGGATCAAGCCTAGCAAGCACAGCAAACGCAAGTGCGTATAACCTGGTCAGCAGTCCGACAAAAACCAAAAATAATCCTTTCTTCAGAAAGTCAAACACCTCAAAAGTCAGAACAACAACAATCCCGGAGAAAATCTCCAAGTACAACCAGTGCTGAAAAGAGACGGCCGGGTGCGGCACGTACCCCATGGAAACTGGGACTATTCGGAAGGCGTCCTGGTTAAAAAAAGAACAATCTGAGGAAACCCTGTACCCATGAGTTCACATCTGAGGTTATGTCTATCCTTTTTGAGCCGCGGTTTAGGGTGGATCAAGCAAGCACTCCCCAAGCCCGTGTGGGACCCGAGAAGCATGTAGCGCTTATCCTAATATTGCGGCTCCGCTTCCGGTGTTACCAGCTTCTTCCGGCTGCTGCAGATTTGATTCCTTTTCGACCACAGCATTCTCCTCCTCCTCCCTCTCCTCCCTCTCCTCCGTCTCCTCGCAAGCCTGTGCGAAATTTGAGCGATGCAAGCTTTCGTTGGCGACCGGCTTGTCCCTCGCAGCAATGAGGTTCCTCCTCACCTACAGCACGGCCTGAACCACGATCACCGCAACCATGCCGGCATGCGCCGCGATAAGCACCTTTGCAAATACCGCTTGGCTTTGATTGTCCTCGTCCGAAACATCCACTAGAGCCAGGTACATCGAGAAACAAGTTATCCACCCGCCGATACGGTACAGCCACGCATCGAACGGGTCTACAAACGGCGACAACACATCAGACACCGCCACGAAGATAGCAGCCAGCACCACCTCGATCGCTGCCTGCGCCGCGCTGTTCGGCAACAGAAAGGCAGCCAGCCCTGTCAACGCAATCCGGTGACCGCACTCTACCACTTCGAAGTAGTATCGATGAGGCTTGTACGGAGCCCAGAGATCCCGCATGGGCTGCAGGTGGTCCAACTCCGGGACCCTTTCCAAGAAATTGTTGGGGGCGCCAACCTTGACGAGGTAGTGTCGGATAAAGAGGAGCCACCAAGCATAGAAGGCCGGAATGCCCACTGGGTACACGAAGATCATCAGACCGGCGTAAACCATCATCGCCTTATGGACACCTGTATAGCACGTGAGACTGTAGTCAGCCCGAAGGTAGTCCATCCCGGTATCCAGCCGCTCGCAAACGAAGGTTTGGAATATGTTGAAGGGCACCGAAGAGTAGACCACGAACATAATAAAAAGCGTGATCGAAAGATGCTTGCTTTTGGCAGCCTGCATCCCGGCGGGGGAGTGCCGGTTACGGGACTTAGATACGGTGTACGTCACTGCTTGAGCTCCGAACACAACCAGCGGGCAGATCGTCGCGAAAAAACGACATCCGTAGAAGTTGCTGTCGACGATGCATGAGACGGAAAGGATGAAGCCGAGATTGAAATTCACAACATTCAGCACGGACAGGAACCTCTCGTAGACGCCCGGGTACACCACGTTGAGCACAGAAGAAAACTGACGACCGACCAAGGGAACGGGAAAACGACGGAAAGGATTAAAACCTTGGCCAAACCACTTCATTATCGTGCCCTTCTTTGTCTTCGAAATAATCAGAGCCGCTGATACACACCCACACGCGTTAGGGTATGGAAACATGAGAAATATATCGCTGTAAGCATCATGCCTGGTGCGGAAGCCCTCGCGATTCACCACCGGCCGAATGCATCGCTGCTGTACCTGGAGGTAGTCCTACACGAAAAGTTAGGGGCGGATAAACTGTCCCACCCCACCCTTGCTCACCTGCGTGACAATCTGCCAGGCAACCAGGACGATCTTGATCGACGTGAGTGGAACGACGTTTGTGATGCGCTCTCGACAGGACGTGAGCCTCTTCCCCCATGTGAACGCCGGTGTTGTTCTCATCAACCACTCGGACAAGATCCGCGACCACCAGGGCAATGACAACCAGGACCACAAAGAACAGGGCTACTGATATGCCTGTTTCATGAACGACGTGACGATGGAGCGGGAGGGCGTACTCGTTGGTTGTTTACGTGAAGCCTTTCTAGGATGTCCGCATAACCCTTCCTAGACAGAGCATCATTTCTACACGATAGAACTGACAAAACCCTGGCCCTACAAGCTCTCCCCTTTCGGGAAATCCAGCAGTGAAACCCAGGAAACACGGACGTGATACGAACCGAGCGGTAGTGACCCAAGAACAACATCGGCGAGGCGAGCACTTGTTCTGATGCTGGATGGAATAAATGGCCTTGTACCACATTATCTAGTCTAGATGGCTACAGGTCGCCTGCTTTGTGCGAAATGCGTTGACGTAGCTGGGTGTTGTCTCGGATTTTTCTAACTTTTAACATGTCCTAAATAAGTGATGCGTACGGAGTTCTCAGAAATTATGCTCCTACATCTCTGCAGGAGCAGCAGTAGAAGAAGCAGGAAGAAAGTGCGTCTGTCTTTGTTTAGCTTTGAGAATGTTTGGTCGAACAGTAGCTGTCGTGGTCTTGAAGCGAAAAACTCCACCCAGCCACTCTTCCTTCATGTCTCATTGACGGCAAACATCCCTGGAATAATTATCTCAAAGTTGACGCCATTTCCCTCCCTGAAGACTCAAAGTCTGCAACATGTGCGCGCCATCGTCGTATGATTTGCACCATGGATGGGCTGCATACCCGCTTCTCTCTCCTTACCATACAGCTACACAATTCCCTCCCTTCTGGCCGGTGCGGATCTGTTTCTTGGAACTTCAGTTTCAGCTGTGTCGGGATGCATCAGGACCGTTCAGATGGCCCTGCTATCCCTATTTCTTATGTCGGCTTCATTTCCTTTGCAGTTGTTCTTCGTTCTTTACTTGCTTGCTTCTCGCAAATATAGCCTTCTTTCACTTGCCTGGACCCGTTCAAGTCCACCTTAGACAGTGCCTGAACCTGGTTGTCCCCGATGAAATCGGTTCTATCCTGTCAATATCGCTTCCATATACTTCTGCCACCCATACCATTCCCTGACAACCTTTAGTAGCGTTCCGTTGTCCCCTAGCCTGGTCCATAAATGGCGGCCAATCTCCTCTTTGCACCCTAACACGCTACGTGATGACCATGATACCTAAGTCCCTACATAGTTCTGCTCACGTCCAACATACAACAACATTCATACCGGGTCTCACCACACGTATTTGTTCAAGCTGCTTTTTTAGAGAAATATGTAATAAGGGAGTTGTACGGGAGAGAGAAAGCAGTGAAACATATATGAATGGAAGGGGGATGATGACTCAGCAAAGTTGTCCTCGCTCAAGAAAATCGATAGAGGCAGGTCATGGCTTACACTACTATTGTTGGAGAAAATCACGCATGTCCGGAATACCTGCGTTCTCCGAGCGCCTATGAAACCCCACGTTCGAGTAGAAACAGCAGCACCTGTTGACGGCTGCTCACCGATGAAGCTACAAACCACAACCGGTGAATCGAAGTCCTTCGAATTTGAAGTCGCCTTCACAACGCTAGCGGGAAAGGGTATGCTCTGATGCGCAGTGCAGTTGGCGTTCTAACGGCGAGGCTCTGTTCTGATGCATCTGTTCGCCCTTGCTCTTCTCTTTGGTCTCTAAGTACCGTGTAAACGCTTACCGATCGCCGTCCGTCTATTCTCGCCCATACAGCTGGAGCAACTGTGCTGATATCCGGGGGCGTAGTCCTCTTCGCATACAGCACAGTCTGGGTGTGCATGTTGGGGAAAGGGGTGTGCATCGATGACATCATGTCAGATGGGTGATTGAGTCGATTTCTTCGAGTTCCTCCCTCCTCGCTGCGTGACCTCTCATCTAGGCAATGACACCCGGCGAGATAATCTACATATCCCTTCACGCCCAACTGGCCAGAGTTCACGAGGCTGGAGGCCTCCATCGCGGAGATTTTTAACACCATGAGTGATACTGTAGCTGCACTTGACTCTTTTAGGTCCCGTGTCGTCAAAAATGAAAACGGTGGCCGTGAAAGACGCCTGTAGGGTTCGACTTACAAGCCCCTTTGGTAACCCTCTTCGCAGTACTGACTGGTGTCCACACACCCCTTGCAAGCGTCTTCCTGGTGGCACATCAAGACATTATTACTCTCGACAGACGTGCGCCAGTAACCACGAGTGAGATTAAGTGTTGAAAGAGTCATGCCACCGTTTCCGGAAGCGTCGACTCCTGTCATGGCCTGAAATGGAGAGGAGAACGCAAGGAGGAATGGGTCGCACCCGCAAAGAGTTGTTGAAATTGTTCCACCGCGTTGCAAGAAGTTCCGAGCACGTCGTCCGATGGCTGGAAATGGGGGAAACACCGACTGTCGTCTTGTCTCAGCATTGTCTCGGGGGTAAAATGTAAGCGGTATCGGAAACCTACGTGTAGGGGGAACTCCGAGCACGATCTGCACTTTCCAGCATTGCACAAGTTGGGAAGGCGGCCGCCATGAACGGTGCAGGCTTCAACATGTTTTAGACATATCCCGTGTCCAATACCAAGTGCTTTAAAGAAGGAGGTGGACGCATGGGCCCAGGAAGAAGAAGAAACATCGGGAGGCAGACGTTGGGAACGTAGAACTAGAGGAGGAGTTCACTGAGGACGAGGTTGAGGCGTGTGTGAACAAACTGCAGTGCCACAAAGCAGCAGGGGCGGATGGGATAGTCAACGAGTTCATGAAGTTTGGGGGGAAGGGGAAGGGGATGATCCAGCTGATGGTACAGCTGTACAACTGGGTGTGGAAAGACGAGTGGCGCCAAGTAGATGGAGGGAAGGAGTGGTTGTGAACTTGTTTAAGAAAGGAGACAAGACTGACCCAAGAAACTACAGGGGGATCACACTGTTGAACACAGTAGGAAAAGTGTTCTGTAAGCTGCTGAACGATAGGATAGTGGGAGTATTGGAGAAGGAACATAGCATTAGTGAGGGCCAGGCAGGTTTCCGATAGAAGAGGGGGTGCGTAGACCACGCATTCAAGGTAGTAGGGAGAATCATCCAAGGTAGAAAGAGGGCGGGAAAGCCGACGTACTGCTTCTTCCTGGACGTGAAAAAGGCACACGATACAGTATGGAGAAATAGGCCGTGGAAACAATTGTCCAAGTACGGGATCAAGGGGAAATTGTGGAGAGTGCAGAGTGCACGAAAAGCGCGGTCATGCCAGACGGAGAACTGTCTAAATTCTTCGACATTGAACAGGGGGTCCCACAAGGTTGCCCGATGTCCCCAATATTGTCCCAGGTATTCATCAATGATCTGTTGGAAGTCGTAGAGGCAGTCCGGAAGGGAGTAAAAGTAGGGGACACGGAAACTTCGGTGTCGGGAATGCTGTTTGCGGATGATTTTGTTTGTATATCGGACACCACTGAGGGGCTGAAAATGCAAATTGACGTGGCGAAGAAGTTTACCGATAAGTGCACATTGTCTGCCAACTTTAAGAAGAGTGCCGTCACGGTATGCAATGAGGACAGGGAGGAACCAGTAGAATATAGATGGAAGTGGGGGATCGAGGAGATTACAGTAGTGGACCAGTACACATACCTCGGAGTAGAGATCGCAAAAGACTGCTCGTGGAATGCACACATGTTCAAGGTAGCGGAAAAGGGCAAAGCACGAGCAGGGAAGCTGCACCCAATACTCGCAAACCGGCACCTCGATACAAGTATCATTTTGACGGTTTTGAAGAGCGTAATCGTACCGCCGCTAGATTCCGCCGGAGAAGTATGGGAAGGAAATAAGAAGGTAGTGAAAGAACTCAAGGCGGCGCAGATGAAAGCAGCGAAAATCATCCTAGGATGCTCCAAGCGCACAACAAGTAATGCAGCCGTCAGGGCAGAATTGGGGATCCAATCCCTACAGTCGGGAAGAGACGCAAGAAGTTGGCGTGGCAGTATCGCATGTGCTGGATGGGAGAGGAGAGGTTGCCGAGAATGGTTTCGGAGGCGAAGTGGGCAAACAAAAAGAGGGGTAGACAACCCACTGAATGGGTCAAGGTTGTGGAGGACGTATGGAAGGGGTTAGACATCGGCGAAGATGAAACGCTGGAAACGGAGGGTCTACTGGGGTTCAAGGAGAAGATATCTGTTGCTTGTGCCGAGAGAAAAAAACAGAATCTAAGGAAAGAAACCGAGGATAAGGAGGGTCTAGAAGTGTACGGAAAGTTCAAAGAAGGAATAGGGTTCAAGGATTACCTACATGGACCAATGGATGCAGGGACAAAGCTTAAGGTCAAATTCAGGACCGGGGACATAGGCCTTCGAGAACGTCGACGAAGACATAGGACGGTAGACGAGGAATACGACAAGTTCACATGTGATTGCGGCTTCAAGTGCGAAGACCGTGTTCATGTACAAGTCGCGGATGTCAGTTGTACGAAAAGGAGAGGGAAGTGTACATGACCGAGCTGGGAAAAATACAAGGGAGGCACAGGGAGATGTTTGAGACATGGAATAGAGAGGAGAAGACGGTAGTTGTGCTGGGGGATAGGAAGTGGTTTGAAAAGGCGGGAAGTGATCGTGAGGATAGATAGACTAGGGAAGACATTTTTGAGCCACCTTTGGCAAAGTAGGAAGGAACGATTGGCCATCGGTGATCGGTCCCGTGGGAACAATGCTCCGTCCTCTCGAGGACGCGTTGTCGATGGTATAACCGCTAAGGCATGCAAAACATAAGCGTACCTCCCCCCCCCCCCCCCCCCTGAGCCTAATCCGGGGAGAACCCGGGGGGGCCCCTCCCGGCTTTGTGGGGGTGCGAGGGCCATGGGCTAACGACTACGGGCTGGGCGACAATGAATACCCCCCCCCCCCCCCCCCCATGGGTGTTCCGCGGGGAGAAGGCGGGGGGGGCCCCACGGGGCGGATTGTGGTTGCACGACGGGCG